CAGGTAGGCTCGTCAACAACCTACTTCGGTAGAGGCTTTGGGTGTTGTTAGCTTTAGTTTTCTAGGTTATTTAGGTATCTATATTTTATAGACAACCCATAAAGTTCGTACGTTTTATGGGGCTATACGTTTTTGTATTCGTGGTGTTGTTTTAAAGTACACTGACACACAGTTTGATATCTATACTAATATATAAAGCTGAAGAGTTTGTTTGTTTGTTTTAACGCGCTCGGGAACTGGTTCGAATTGAATTATTATTTTTGTGTTAGAACATTTATCGAGGAAGGCTATAAAAAATTCGCGCCGTGACGAATAAAAGCGAAAAAACAGCGGGAATTATGTCAAAAACGTCGAGTGAGCTGTAAAAACAGTTCATGAAACCAAAACAATATGTATGGAAGAAGAATTCCTCTTTTTTTTAGATCAGTTATCTAAAAAAAGTCCGCGACGCTATGTGTCTATCTTATAAGATTAACTTGCAAGAACGACCCGAACGACGGGATGTGTACGATGGGATACGAATATCGTGGTGAAACAGCTATGATCTGATAAAGATGAGGAGGAAGTTCGCAAAAACAAATTTTGACGCCTAAAGTAACTATTTTATGCGGACGAAGTCGCTGGCACAGCTAGTTAAGTTAAACACACTTAAAAACAAAAAGACTCAGCAAAACTATAGTGTAGTATATAGAGATAGTACACGAAAAATTAAAAAAGGAAAATGTATTCGAAATTCGAAGCAATAGCTTAATATTTAAATATAACAATTTAACGGTTTAAAACGCGACTTTTATTACTTGAACTTGTTTGAAAATTATTTTAACTACATCCCGACTTTTCAAGTTCTTGTCAAGGAAGAATTCGACGATGAGGTGTGGGTAGCTCAATTGGTTAGAGCAACAGCACGGAACGCTGGCGATGCCGATTCAAGTCCTGCCTCAATCTAAAATGTTTTCAATTTATTTTAGATTTTTCACTAACCTTCTTAATTCTAGTACATATAAACATATATACTACTTGCTTTTCAAATAGATATGTGTTTATTCAAGTAGATGGTTCAAACCGCACTTAATAAACTGGCAATACAGTTTCCCGTTAAGCATCCACCAGCGTCATCCATCAAAGCCACATTCGATTGTCGAATGTTATCGGGTACATTAACGATATATTGGCGGGAAATACGTATAATGTTGCCACTGTCAAAATGACGGATGGTTTGTTTATTGTCATTGGTGTTTCAATGTGCAGTTTGGGAGGACGCTCCGAGCCGCCATTGTGTGTGACAATCAATGTATTCATTTTAAATTCAATTTCAGGTGGATTCCGGTTATATCCGATTTTGCTGAATGGTTTTTCATTTTATTTTCAACTTGTGATTCGGAGTGTCGCTTAATAAATGACTTTAATATTAATTTGATATTTCAGCTGATTTAATAAAAAGTTTGTTGCTGTCTATCTTTGTGAAAAGTTTTGTATTTTAATAATTAAACTTTGAAATACGGTTTAACATAAATACATTGTTATTATCTGTAGTTTATGCCAGTCGTACCGATTGAAATAACTATATTGATATAACTAACTTTAACGGTTTAAAACGTGAAATATTTTGTTTGTGAAATTCCGTTCCCCTCGTGTGACATAGGGCGAACACATTTCATTGGCCGTTTCGCTAATCGATTTTATTTATAGGCAAGTGTAGTTTATCAGACTTTTGTGCCCTGCCCGACCGAAACAATCTTTTGTTTTTCAGGGATTCGAACCCAGGGTTTACTCTCGCGCTTTACACACTGCTAGGAAACACGTTTAACCATTTAGCTACGTAATAAATTAGTTTAACTTATTATGTTGTTTCCCCATAGTAAAATAGTTTTTAAATGAGTTTTACTAATATATTTCTCATTTTAAACCGTTAAAGTGTTTTATTTAATTATACATTTTTCCTGTTAGCTCATATTTTAAATGTCAAACATTTTTTAACGTATTACACTGGTTAACGCCGAAGACATGGCAATACATCTTCAGATTTCTGCTAGTCATGTTTTCACTTGGCACCAATACTTTGATGAATGTGTCGTAGTAATGTGCACATATACACAATCTTTTTATATTAAACCAACCTGAATTTCAGAATTTGGCAGTTATTCAGTAATTCAGGGTGTCAACTGAAATGACAGCAGATAGAATAGACACAGGTATAATTTACTTTTTTATTATGATACACGAAGACAGATAGCATGGAGGACAGATAAAAAGTGAAACACTCGAAGCATTTAATATCTTAATACAATGCGCTTTCTTCCCATTTTGCCCTTATTTGCAAAACCCATAGACTGAAGCTGAAAGTCGATTAAACTTGACGAATTTATTTCTGTAGACTGTGGTTCGTGACCCAGACAGAATTTCGATATTCCTACCACCCAAAGAAGTCCAACATGTTTCAGAAAAAGCTGAAGAGTGTTTTGTTTGAACGCGCTAATATCAGGAACGGCTGGTTCGAATTAAAAAATATATTTTTGCATTGATTAGTCATTAGAGCATTTATCGGGTAAGAAAATAGGCTATAAAATACGCGATGCGACATATGGAAGTGAAGAAACAACGGGCTTACATCTTTGTAGCGAAAGAATGATTCCTATTTAAATTATGTAAAAAGCCGCGACAGTGTAAGTCTTTTTTTTAAGATTAACTTGCAAGAACGGCGGGACGTGGACAAAGTGGTAGGTAATAGCTAATTTATAAAGAACAAGAAAGAAGAAGAAAAAGAAATCTTGATGCCGAAAATTACTATCCTTCATTGACGAAGTCGCGGAGTCAGTGTATATTAATATGGTGCGTTATGCTAGCCTGGTACTTCCTTTGTATATTCAACATAAATTTTTGATATATGTTACTAGGATAGTATAAAAAGAAAACGGTTACACGGTAGATTGGAATGTCATTTTTCCAATCCTATAATTAGTCCGTCGTTACGCTATCACGTTTCCACACTCCGTTTTGAGTTAGACCGTTAATTGCCCAGCTACTGTAATCATAGACTAAACGGTTATTAAAGTTAGAAAACTTCGTCCGTTAAACATTGATTTACGGCCGAACTTTAACCTTAAACGTACGTTTGTTTTTATTCTAATTATCATATTAATTACTCAGATGGAGGAGGCCGTTCGACGCAAACATACATTGTGCATAATATCTATCATAGTTATAATATACATATTTTAAAGTGTAATATTGTAAATAATATAAACGATGTTAGAAAGTAAATCAAAAATAATAATTTTATAATAATACATACATTATGAAGGCAAATTAATTATTTGAAAATTAGTAGGTAGATATCAAAATATTGTAAAGCGTCACATTTGATTTTTTTTTTATATATTAGTACGTTAGTCGATGGTTAAGTCGGGTCCGTAAGGTGAATTAGTAAAATAGAAATATGTGTATTCCGGTTTCACGTATGGGAAATGAGATTTCGTTGTAAAACTTTGTAAAAACGTTATTGCACAGAATGGCGATATAAAAAATGAAAATCCATTTTGGATTGAAAATTTTACGACACGGGCAAGACTTGAACCGACATTCACAGCTGTTCGTGCTGTTGCTGTAGCCGGTAGCTCAATTGGTTAGAGCAACAGCACGGAACGCTGTAGATGCCGTTCAAGTTCTGCTCGTGTCGCAATTTTTTTTCAATCTACTACTAATGAGATTTCAATTTTTCTGTAAAGCATATTATGTTATATTATTGTTATTGGGGCATGGAAATTTTTACGTCATCGCCAGGATAATAAGGTGTACATTTTACAAATCTAACTCTCCCTAATGACAAGATAAAGTCGTTAAAACGTGTCCTTTGCGATACCAGAACGAAGTTTCAACGACTTTGAGAAGAGAGTAAATAGTGTAACAAACTGCAAAGCCAGTGGACTCTGTTGCATTAGGAGATTGGACCTTGCTTCAATATAACTTGCAACTCCCCGGAGACTGGAACTTTAGTCAAGAATAGCGCTGTGTTAGAGTTATGGACTGATTTAGTCTGGTATAAATAACACAAGAGAGTGCAATAAAATCTTGTTCATTGATCTAAAGTCATGTGTTATGAAAATAGAATCACCTTTAAGTGTTTTAAATACGAAATATGTTAACTTATATTCTTTAACCACGACCGATGTTTCGAATGTTTTGTAGCAGCCGTGGTTACGGGGGACTAAAGATCCCTAATGTCAAATCTGGTACGCTTGTGTCATCTGTCTATCTATTAGTTATCGTCTTAGGTAATAGGAGAAACTGGTTTTTACTTTTGTTTTTCTTTCTTCCGCTGACATTTTTTTTAATTGCAACATTATTCTAAATGTTTATTTGATAATAAGCTATCATTTATAATTATTCTGAGACCTGCATAGTTTACGCGAGGAGTACACATTTAAATAAAACACTTTAACGGTTTAAAACGCGATATATATTATTTAAACTCGAGACACTGTCCCCCCGTGACCACGGCTGCTGCAAAGCATCCGAAACGTCGGGCCGAAGTTAAAAGTCATTTTCAAATAAGTTTAACTAATATATCGCGTTTTAAACCGTTAAAGTGTTTTATTTAAATTCTGAGACCTGTTAATTTTATTAGTATAAAAAAATCATGATAATCCGTACACACGCATATAAACGCAAACGAATATAAAGAAACACACTTGCGTGCGTTTCTACACATACATATTAATTTTATTAAGAAATAGAAGTTAAATTTTAAAAGTTGTTTAAAAAATTGAGAGAGCTGAAAATACAAAAGAGATAGTTTTTCAAAACATCTACCAAAAGATTTTACACATGGCTTTAATCGAGTCTATAATTTTTTCTCCGTTGGTTTATTGTGTTAAGCTTCAGAGAGATACTAGATTCGAACACCGGAACTATTATTTGTTTCGGTCGGGCGGGGCACAGAAGTCCGATCGTATACATCGAGAGAAACTTTGTTGTAAAACGATAGAATGCAAAAGACTTACTCAGCCTCCTCGATGGTCTCCGACATGGCGAGGAAGACACAATTGAGCAGAATGGTTGCCATGACGAAGTAATCGAAGTACTGATTGGTGGAGAGATAGACGCAGGCGCGCCTGACGGGTGACCACGGAGACCACCAGAATAACGATCTGGTCGCGGTGAACCGGTGGATGTAGTTCTTCCGGAACCTCTTGGACACCACGCAGAATGTCTGGAACAAGAAGGCTGAGTTAAAATTTCGGTTACAAGAGAGAAAAAATGTTCTATTTAAATAAAACACTTTAACGGTTTCAAACGCGATAAATTAGTTAAACTTATTTGAAAACGATTTTTAACTTCGGCCCGACTTTTCGGATGCTTTGAAGCAGCCGTCGTCACCGGAGACTATAGATGGAGGATATCTCTGACGTCAAAGTAAAAAATGGCTACGCTAACGCCATCTGTTTCGTAGATGGCGCTAGCGCAACAATTTTTTACTAATTAAACTAATATATCGCGTTTTAAACCGTTAAAGTGTTTTATTTAAATAGTTTATATTTTTTTTATATTTTACATTAAACCTTTATTCAAATGCTAGCTGATTCTGAGACCTTGTCCACGTGAAATAGGCAATTTGGTCAACAAAATTTATTCTTGCAAACAACCTCCTCAGCTTTAATAATAAGCTATTTATTACCCACGACGTAGGCCGCGTCCGGTTGTTCTTGTAAGTAATCTTATAAGATAGACATATAGTGTGGTGGACATTTTGTAAGATCATGTTGAGAGGAATCATAGTTGCTACATATTTTTTGGGTATCTTGAACATATTTTGCATCGCTCGCTGCAGATACCCTTAAAGATGAGTTTTCCACCCGGTTTTCCCACATTTCATTTTGTCTCTTGGGTTCTATTGAAAGCAGCAATACCTTCCTCAATTAATGGTCCAACCAATACAAAACTATTTTTTCAATTCGAAAGTGTTTTCCTTAATTACTATTACTACTTGCGTACACTACAGACAGTATTTAATCGCACGCAGTTCGATTCTACATACAAGTTTAAATTACTTCAAAAAGCAAACACTACAACTGATTGTTGAACATTGTAGTGTTGTGGCGCTTCCTTATTTACGAGTTGGCGCTGTTGGTTGGTTGTTCCCAGCTTTATGGCCACAATAAATCCGATCTCATTAATTCTCAGCTATTCGCGGCTTTGCTTTATGTGATGCAAACTAATTCTAACTCTACGGAGTTTACTGAATAGCCATCTAAGATACGTTCTTTTATTATTATAGTAAGAGAGATTAGCATGTTCACGTGATGGTAGTTGAAATAACATCTAAACAAGATGCGGACACACAGAATTAAACCGAAACGCGATTAACCTTGCCCCCTTTTTATCTGTAGACGCTCTATAGGTTTCGTCTATGAATAATAAAATTAATGTTTTTTAAGTACTGTCTGTAGTATACATTTAAATAAAACAAGTTTAAGGGTTTAAAGCGCGAAATGTATTAGTTACACTTATTTACAAATTATTAAATATTAATCCCGGCCCGACGTTATATGCTTATGGTCACGAAGGGACTGTATAGGCAATAACTATTTAATCTAATCTAAATGTGTACTACTCGGGTAAACTACAGACAATGCTTCTCTGAAATATAGTTAGTAAAACTATGCCTGACCGAAGTTATTCATTATATTTTTGTAATTTTGAATCGCGAGCCTTTTGTTCCGTATTCTAGCGCTTAACCACTATGCCACGTAAGTAATCCATAGAGAGAGAGAGAGATAGGAATAGACTTTTACAACGTGAACAACATCGTGTTAGTATGTTAAGTAGCACGGCGACAGTAAAGTTAGTGAATTCTGTTGGAATATTAATAAACTATGTTTGAGACAGCTGCCGTGTGAAGCTTACAAGTTTTGGTCTTTGTACCAAGTGGAGAATTAAGCGCTTCTGAAGTATACTGTCCTGTATGTTTTATGTATGTGGAATAAATTTAACACGTCTTCTCATTTCGAAACATAGTTTGGCGTTTGGGTTTGGAAGGTAGTTGGAATTTGTAAATAAGTTTAATTAATCGCGTTTTAAGCCGTTACAAAGTATTTTATTGAAATGCAGCTCTATAAAATCTCTAATATATATTTGTAATATATTTTTTGAAATTACGTATATGCGTCGTAGATAATATGTACATGGATATTATGGGGTTGGGGTTTTTTTTTTACCTCAGACAGACTATATGCTGAAATGATGATGATTAATAAAAACAAAATGATTTTTACAAGAAACAAAGATACTGCGATTTAAAGATTTACAACGCCATCTATTGATTAATTTCAAAACTAATCTCGTGTGAACCAATATATTGTCTACTGTCTGTAGTTTACGCGAGTTATACACATTTAAATAAAGGACTTTATTGGTTTAAAACGCGATATATATTCGTTAAACTTATTTGAAAATTATTTTAATACAGCCCGACGTTTCGAATGCTTGTGACCATGACTCCTGCATAAACTAACATATATCGCGTTTTAAACCGATTTATTTAAACATAATATCTTTTGCATTAGTAAGTATTAGAGTATTAGGCTGTAAGAATATACTGTCGTTAAATTGATAGCATTAATGTTTTTAATTACCGTAGCACATGTCACCCACATGACGAATGTGTATTGTGGTCAAGCTGTGGTTAGCCCATAATTTTGTATAACGATATTTGCGATCAACCACATTCCGGATATATTTATATTAGCTATTGAGATTAAAACTCAGATATATATATTTATATCAAAATAAAAAACGTTTATACAATTATGTAGGTATATATAGAAAAAGTATTTAAGACCATCAACCGCAATGAAAAAGTGGTTTAACCTATAAAATATCTCTCCCCAAAGAAGGAAGGTATACCCAGCTACTTACCTTACCTACAGCCTCTATTACTAGACCTACTCTACTAGACCTCATCTTAAAAAAGAACATTAGGATATCGTGGGCGTTCTTAACATCGATATGTGGTACGTTAGCGTCCCCTTCGTGTCGTCGTCAAAAATAAATGATTAAAAAAGTATACTTTGAATATTTGCTTATATTTTTTTACATTAGAGAATGACAAACACGTATGGACAGTTCAATACCCAAGTCATAATACACCTTAACAAGATGGGCCTTAAATACTGTCTATAGTTTACGCGAGTAGTACACATTTAAATAAAACACTTTAACGGTTTAAAACGCGATATATTAGTTAAACTTATTTGGAAATGATTTTTAACAGGTCTTTAACGGGTTTGGTCACGGGGAGACGTGTCTCCCCGTGACCAAACCCGTTAAAAAAAACACGACTCCCCCACGGTTGCTGCAAAGCATTCGAAACGTCGGGCCGAAGTTAAAAATAATACTCAAATAAGTTTAACTAATATATCGCGTTTTAAACCGTTAAAGTGTTTTATTTAAAAGATGGGCTTTTATCTGTGGTTGTTTTACAATAATGTTATTTCTATGACTAGCAAAGCCATAGACGTGAGTAACATTTTTATATAAAGAAGAGGACCGAAAATTATGGGATTCCCTTAATCTATACTAATATATAAAGCTGAAGAGTTTGTTTATTTGTTTGAACGCGCTAATAAAAAGAACTACTGGTTCAGATTGAAAAATTATTTTTGTGTTGGTTAGAGCATTTATCGAGCAAGGCTATATAATATAAAACATTGTCCTATGATTAATACAAGCGAAGATACAGCGGGAAATGAACAAAACGGGGGAAATTTTTCATCCCAAGATAAACAAAAATATGTATAAAATAATGATTCCTCTTTAAATGATCTAAAAGAAAGTCCGTGACATATGTCTATCTTTTGAGATTAACTTGCAAGAACGATGGAAAGCGACGCAATCGACGTCGTGGCTAACAGCTTAACAGCAAGTTTATAAAGATGGCGGGGTTAACAAAAACTAATTTAGATGCCCAAAATAATGATTCGCGGACGGAGTCGCTGGCACAGCTAGTATTAGATAAAATACCTAAGCTATATTACATCGAAACAAAATGCCATAGACCGTAATCGAAAGGCGATTAAACTTCACTGCTTTTTAATTTATAGTCGTGAACAATAATATTATATCTATGATCATCAAACCCATAGACTATAGAAATGGACAAATATAACATTTTGTTCTTTGAATCGCCACTGACTCAGTATAAACTGATTTACCTTAAAGCAACTTTGCATAACTTGGCCGGCTTCATATCTCGAGTTAACGGCAGTTTAACAGTTGGTCGGGGTTATTATTTATATTATTAAATTTTCCCGAGCCCAACGGCTCGGATAACGTAGTATGGGATAAATTGTGTTTACCTAGGCTTTGCTCAAACTCGTGTTGGCACCTTTAGTTTTAAACGCTTGTTGTCTCTCGGTTAATTGAATTATAGTGTAATATTACGTAATAGTTTAACAGTGTTTATTGACGTGTGGGAGAGGATAGGCTCGTTGGTCTAATGGTAGCAATAATCATCGGGTCGTGGGTTCGATCGGGATCCCATGTTTCTAATTCCTCAATTTATAACTTTTCTGAAACATATTGGACTTCTGGAAATCTAGACATAAAATGGATGGTAGGAATATAAAAATTCCGTCCGGGTCACGATCACGGTCCAAAAAAAAAGTCGTGAAGCTTAATCGCGTTTCAGTTTCAGGATGTCGATATCCGAATATCTATTTTTTTTTAACTTTAAGTTTAAGTACAAAATCTATCCAGAAAATGTTTTAATAAATCGCATCTGTACGTTAGCTGTTTAATACATCGTTACTGTACCTGCATGCAAAAAGATACATGTATCCCAATTCAGACGTCTCGACCCCTATTCTGAAAATTCTCGAACGTAAAACAGTGGAGAGTTGAACGATAGTGTTGATTAAATAGTAATTAACATACCATAAATAACAAAGTTTTTTTGGTATCTCAAAAGGCCACCACTTAGGCCTTTTGAGATACCAAAAAAACTTTGTTTACTCAATGTCAAGGAGAAGCTTCACTAATTATTTTTGTTTATTAGTAAACATTGAAATTAAACAGTTTAGCGGTTTAAAACGGAATACGTATTAGTTCAACTTATAAAAAAAATATTATTTTTTATTTTAACTACGCCCTGACGTTTCAAAACTAGGATCTCTCGATGTGTAAGTATTAATCTTAACTATAAGTAAAATACCAAATGTTCACACGAGTTGGATGTTTTATCGAATGGATAGTGTAAATAGCAGAATCAGGCATCTGTTCTCGGATTAATCTTGTCGATGTTGCCACTTGCTACGGTTACTGAAAATGACATAAATGTATTATTCACACACGCTCTCAGCTACATTTTCGCTGTAGAATTTCGGTACATTTGTATGTTTCGTCTTGATTCTGCATTTAATTAAATCCGGTCTGCATTTATCCTTTCAGAAGCTTGGGCACGTTCTTGTTTATTTTGGGAAGAAATCTTACCAAAACATCTTAGCATAAATTAGGTATAATTCTTATGAAATGTTGTGTATATCTTATAAATAAAATAAGTACAAAACTTCCATGAGTATTATAAATATTAGACCCTATAAACATCTTCTAATAAGTAGGTATTTGGTAAATATATTTTTATGACACAGAAAGACACATCACTTAATCGTGGAGGAGCCATGTATTGTCTATAGTGTGCTGTTGGCCTATTGTGGTTTCGGCCATTCATTTAATGTATCTTCTACATTTTTTATTCATACACCTTATAATTTTTAGTTTTAAGACTATATAAAGTTGATTTTAAATGGGCTAAGATTATTTCCTCCTTCTTTTGTTTTTCCGACTCTAAAATTCATAACGCTGATATTTAAGCTCTACGTCCAACAATCTCGATTGTTATTTTTCATATCATTGAATTTGAAAACCGTATTCAACTAAAGATCATTCGAAAATCCCTTACGTGCATCGTTTTAATATTTCCAATTTAGTATTTGTTGATGACGAAGCCGTTTTTTGTAATTTTAATTCTGGAAACATACAATTGACGTTTTGAGGGGAAAAACATATACTATCGTAATTTATTTGAAAAAAATATCATAAACATTTAAATAAAAACTTTAACGGTTTAAAACGCGATATATTAGTTAAACTTATTTGAAAATGATTTTTAACACGGGGAGACTGAGAGACTGAGAGTCTCCCCGTGACCACGGCTGCTGCAAAGCATCCGAAACGTCGGGCCGAAGTTAAAAATCATTTTCAAATAAGTTTAACTAATATATCGCGTTTTAAACCGTTGAAGTGTTTTATTTAAATGTGTACTACTCGCATAAACTATAGACAGTATTTATATCATAAACATATTAATAGCAAAGTACCTAATTGTTTTGTATGAAATTATTAACTGTCCTACAATAATGCTGGCCACAAACGATTCAAGGTATGTTCTACCGAATATCCGAAGCCAAAAATGGGTCGACAGCGCATCAAGTTGAGATGTTATATGGGTGGAGGTATTTCAGCTTCCATGAAGTAAACCATATGCGTGTCTATCGTAGAAAAAAAACACTTTGAACTCACAATTTCAAATTTGTTTACAGAATTATTTGTATGTTTGCTTATACTTATATATACTTACAGACTTGTCTGTAAAAAATACGTATACACAACTGTCGGAGACCTATCTTCTGTCTCCGGTCGATGCTATTTATTTTGTTTCGGGAAAATCAAACGCTAGACCTTTCGCTCTTAACTGCGTGTTTACACATTGGTTGTAGAATCGTAAATAAAGCCATTATGGTTTAATAATTATTAATCAGCCAGAGTATGAATCCAAGAGGTGACCCAGAACATTAAGAATGTAGGTCAAGATGAGCTCACCTTGACGAGCGTCTAATTTGAAAGAAGGTGGAAAAGAGAGAGGTCTTCACCTCAGCGAGTTTTAACGTAGGTGTGTTTTAATTAAAAACGCTGGTCGCCGTTTGATACTTGTATTATCCGGATTCAAAGCGACTCTGCTTTCCGCAAACATTGATTAGCTCAGGCTTTAGTTTATCGCCAAGCAATTTCATAGTAGGGGTCACTTTACAGGGTTCTGTACTGAGATGATGAACATGTAACCATTTTAAATGCTGTCTCTAGTTTACGCGAGTACACATTTAGATACAATACTTTAACGGTTTAAAATGCGATATATATTAGTTAAACTTATTTGAATATTATTTTAAACTTCGGCCCGATGTTTCGGTTGCTTTGCAATAGCCGTTCAAGTGTTTCACTTAAATGTGTACTACGCATAAACAGACAGTATTACAGACAGTATTTAATTAACCAGTATTGTCTGTCTTTTTCTATATAAAAAAAAAATTATAGCTTCTGAACAAGTTACGCTGTCGACATATTTTGGCTTTGGTTGTTACACCCTTAACGAGAAGGTAGATCGATTTGTAGCAATTTTGCGTCAAGTAAGTTCATTTGTACGGGACCCGATAACATCTCTCCTTTCAAAACGCTTCCGTTAGATATTGATTGACCCCTACCTATTAACAAGGCAATGAAACTCAAACATAAATAAGTTAATATATAATTTTCTAGCTGTGTTAGCGACTTTGTTCGCATAGAATGGTTATTTTGGGCGTCATTATTTATTTTTACAAACCTCCAAAGCAAAGATGAAGAATCTTTATACATTCCAGCTGTAACGTGCGACGTCGGTCGCGTCCCGTCATTCTTGCGAGTTCTTAATAATCTTAAAGGCAGACTACCAGAATACAGTGGTGAATGCATATTTTTGCATATGTATATAAAAAAAATTCAATTCTAACCAGTGGTACCTGAGATTAGCGCGTTCAAACAAACAAACTCTTCAGCTTTGTGTATTAGTGTAGATTTCGTAATCAAATAATTTTACATTTAATATAAAAATCGGCTAATTCAACGAAAGTTCTCATATAAATTAAAGCGTA